GCCTACTTTCCCCCTCCATTCTATGGCTCCTGTTCCCAGGAGAGCATCGCTCCAGCCACCATGGCCGCCAGCCCCCACCTGCCTTAAGGCCTTGACAGTCTGGGTGCCTGGAAGCTATTTCCGTAGCTCCTCACCGCTCATTTCATGCAGCTTTCAGAGAGGCTTTCCCTGGTCACACTGTCTGCAGTAGGTTCCTGTTTCCTTCCATCACAGACCCTCATGGCCCCTAACTCTGAGCTCCTACTCTTCTGGCTAGACCTGGAGCTCCTGAGAGCAAGGCTGGGTGTGCATCCTTCACCAGTACAGGGTAGAGGTGCTCAGTAAACCTGGGACATGGGGAATGCATGACCCACACCTGCATGTAGAGTTCCCAGAGCCTTTTGGGTCATGAAGCCCCCCAGATGGCCTCTTCATCCTCCACCCTCCACTCCCGCTCAGGTTTTCCAGCCAGATATGCCTGACTCCCTTTGCCTACTTGTCCTTATTCCATACTCAGAAATCACTGAGTCCTTTTATTTCTACTTCCCGTCTGCCCTCTTCTTCCCTTGGAGCCTCGGTAAGAGTGGCTTCCTGCACTGTACAACCATCAGCTTCTCCTCGAGTCACCTGGGTTTTACAAGCTGCTTGGGGTTCCTGTTGCCCTGGGCAGGCAGCCTCGACCAGGTCCCAGCCCTTCCCAGCCCTTCTCTACCTGCAGCTGTACCGCCCCCTTGTGGTTCCTGGAAGAAGCTGTTCCCAGGGCTATTCTCTGGTGATGCTGGTGGGGGTTGGGGGAGGGATGTGGCCTCCACGGGCACCACCTCCCCGCCCCACCCAGGACATCTCCAGACCTCATAGGTGGGTAGGAGTTTGGTGCCCAACTAACACAGCATTAAGCGTTCTCCCAGGTGCCACCTACCCCCACTGAGAGAAAGATCCAGGCTCTTAATAGTGCAGCCAGGAGGGCAAGGAGCACTGTGGAAGGCCGACAAGGACCTGCCCCACTCAGAACAACATCCCTCTGTGTCCCCATCCATATTCAGTCAGCATCTAGCACTGACGGACGTGTAATGGCTCTCTACTCAGTGATCCTATCTGGCCAGCAGGCTGTTGAACAGGAAGGTTCCAGGGCTGCCCCACTGCCCGCTGACCTGGGCTCCAGTTCCACAGCCCAGCTTCTCAGCCAAGAATCCCCTGGCAGACAGACACCATCAAACACTGACCAACTTTTGCCCACTCCACTCCAGGGGCCACAAGAGGTGCTCACCACCTGCCCCGCTGCCCCCCCCATCACACACACTGTGTGTGGCAGTGTCCAATGGCTTCCTCTAGCAGGACCCTCCAAGGCAGATGCCCAGCATGTCAAAACCCCTCAAGAGCTTGCTGAAATGCAGATCCCCGGGCCAGACCCAGGGATTCTCATTGAGTAGGACCTATGATGAGGCTGGGAATCTTCACCCCCAACAAGTTCTCCAGGGCATGCAGAGGGTGCAGCAAGTCTTGAGACAAATGCTGCAGGTCTGGTGCCAAACTTCCCCACCCTTGTCTACCCCCAGGCCCTTTGAGACCCATCACTGGCCACCTGAGGTCTTCCAAGAGTCTGGGCAGCCTGTCACTCTCCTGGCCATCCTTGCCCCCCTCAGCTATTCTGTGTACCCCACATCCTCCCCAACCACGATTCTCAATTCTCACTGGTTCTTGTGTCCATGGGGCTGGCCAAGGTCCTGCCAGGAGTTCACTGACTCTGCCTGCGGTGCTACTTCAGACCGCTCTTCCCCTGGGCTCCAGCTCCTTCCAACCTCTTGTAGGAAGCTGGATGCTTTAGGTACAGAGAGTGAGCCAAAGAAAGGTGCAGGGCAATGCCCTCAGGCAAGACTTTCAGCTTCTTTGGGTCTAATATATTTTATCTATAAAATAAAGAAGTTGAGGGGATAAAAGGGCACAAAAATTCTTAAGCATAATGTCAGTTGGCCACGGGGATGGTAGTACAGCATGAAGAACATAGCCAATGGATTTGTAACATCTTTCTGTGTTGACAGTAACTGCACTATGTTGGGGTAAGGATTTAATAATGTGGGTAACTGTGTTTTATACTTGAAACTAATTTAAGATTGTATTTATATATCAATGATACTTCAATTAAAAAACAAAACAACCCAAGGAGGTTGAAATGGAGTCGTTTCAGCTAGAAAATTCCATGAATTTTTGGTTATCGAACCATCTTTCTTCTTCCTGTTGTCCTTATTTTGCTATTATTTGGACATTCATTCAGGCATAAAATTTCAAAGTAAAGGTGGAAAGTTTCTTAAACATTTGAATCCATGAGAGGAAAAGTTAAACTTCTTTACTGCCATGGGGAAAGCAGTAGTAATTGTAGGATTAAGTGGAAATATATTCACTTAGTTTTGTTAGCTTCTTTTTTTAAATACAGAATTGTTCATTTATTAGTTTGATATATTGACCATGATACTTTTTTTTTTTCCACCAAATTATTTTGGCTAGTCAATTTAGCAGTGCAGAAGCCTGGGAAAGACAGGAATACTTTCTGGATAAACAAATTAATTTTTCTTCAAATTTTTGGAGACTGAAACAAGAAAGTTTTTGGAATTGTTTCAGAATGTTGGGTTTTTTTCCACTTTGGCTTTTTCCACTTCTACCTTGAGGTCACCCCCTTTGCTCTTGTCTTTGCCAATTGTTTCTTCAAAACACACTCTAGTTGGAGCCTCTCTTGTCCCTACCAGTGTGGAGCAGGAGCCCACCACATCCTTGACTCCCACGTCACAGTCTACGTGATCTTTTACTAAGGGAAAGGACAATTCTCAAACGGGTTCCCATCGAACACTGGTGGCCGTGGGTGCACTGAGGCACTATAGAGCCACATTAATGGTGGCCTGTTCTCCATCTGCAGGGGGGAGATGATCTAAGAGGACAGAATGTTTCCAATTAAAAAATTTTCTTTTCTTCATTAAAAATCACAACTGCAACAGAACAACTCTTTGTGCTTGCTATCACTTGTACTAGGAAAGACTAGCAGAAAGCAAAATTTAGAAAGTCAGTAGTTACCTGATTTTAACAGAGAAGTTCATGAACAGCCTGACAGGGGGATGTGCAAAGTTGTTCTAGAGGAGCAAGCCCTTCTTTGGGGGATGCAGCTCCCCAATTGGCTTGGTGTTGAGAGGCCCTTGGAAGTACATAGTGACCCTTGACCAGGCCAGTCAGAATACTCGTGACCATTGTGACTGGTTCAGGGATGGGAATGTGACCCCAGACTTTGGGGCTGCATCTGGAGAGGGAGGTTGGGACTTGTGTTTGGGATGTTGGGGCTGCTGGTGGCATAAAGGAAGCTTATTGCTGTGGGAGAGAGAAGCCACCAAGGATGAAGAGAGGGCTCTGATGGCAACTGACTGCCTGGGTCCAGCTGAGCTTGAAGCTGGCACCACCCTCTACTTTTATAGCAACCAAGCCACTCCCTTTCCACCATGGGCTGGAAGTAGGGCATATTGTCATGTTTTCTTTGGGCATGGCCGCTCCTAGATTGCATGATAGAAATTAATCCATCAGTATTTCTTCATGCTCCTCAGTCGTGATTTTCAGCAGCTCTACCAGAGGCCATCTGTTCCAAATCACTTTCCATGTCTACTCCTTCAGGAGTCCCTGATTCTGGGGTTCGAGCTTGCTCTCAAGTTTCAGTAGTGCCTTGCCACTTCGTGGACTCGGATGGGGCTTGGGCCTCCTTCCCAGTTCCCAGGCTTCCTGGCCTTTAGGTCCTCTGGCCTGAAAAGACCGTCCAGCTGGGGAGCTCTTTCCCATTTATTGTGTCCCCCACCTCCCTGACAATTTTTTAAGGGTAACCCTAAACCCTGGCCGTTTCTGGAAAGTGCAAGCACAGGAACTCTGTCTAAACCTGGCCCTGCAGGATGGGACGGTGGGAGGCTCTGGGGAAAGGGGCTGTGAGGTGGGTAATACTACTGCCAACCCCTCCCCCAATTCTCTGGGTCCCTCGGCGCCACACACGCAGTTTTGCATTTGGTTTGTACATGATTGCACAGAAGCTCCAAACCCAAGAGCACCTTCCCAGTCATCACAGGCAGGCTGCCCCCTCCTTCCTGGGCCTGCGCCCAAATCTTCCCAGTAGGGCACTGCTCTTGTCCGGGGGGGCCCCTGCGCTGAGGGTGGGGCAGGAAGCAGGGGCTCCGTGGACGCGCAGGCTTCAGTCGGTGTCCTCCCCAAGCAGCCCTTCTCCCGAAGCGCCAGGGGCCCCTCCTCTCAACCCGGTGGGGGCTGTGGGCGGCACCCGCGGCCGCCCTGGACACAGCGGACGCGGATGCGGATGCGGACGCGAAGCCGGCCAGGGAAGCAGGACCCTGCGGCCTTCCGCAGCCCAGCGCCTGCACGGGGGAGGTGCACTGAGGCCACTCCCCTGGCGCTCGCGGCTCCGGCCGATCCCCCCCTTAGAAGGCGCGGGTCCAAGGCCGGCTCCACAAAGGCAGCGCCTCGGCTGTGGCGCGGGCCAGGGCAGTGCTCCGCCACAGGGCAGTTGCCGGACCCTTAGTGTATCGGTCATGCCCGCTCATAAAGTGGGGCCGAGCGGCCACTTCGCCGAGCTCTGGCCGGGATTAAACGAGCTGACCAGCCTGTAAAGCAATGGCTCCCGCTGCGGCCTGGCCGAAGCGTGGTGTCCCGCCGTCCAAGGCATCTCAGCGGCCCTGCGGGTGCGGGTGGGCTTCTTTGCCGCCCCGGGAGACCGCCGTGCCCACAGTCGGCTCCCCCTCCTCGGGTTCTGGGACTTCCGGGACAGTCTCCTCATAAAAATTCTATTCTCGGCCAGCTGTTCTGGGGTCTGGGCGGGGGAGTGTGCGTCCCAAAGACCCCTCCCGAGCAGCCCCAGCAGAGGCGTCATGGGGGAGGCCGAGGAGATGTGCCCAGGCCCAGGGGGCGGGCCTTCTCATCACCCCCAACCCGGCCCCAGGGCCACCTCAGAGCCGAGTCTACACCGACACGCCGCCTTGGAGGCATTGCTTGTTCAGTGATAGTTTATTGGTCCTTAGCATTACATCTCAGTTACTAAGGTAAATTCACATACACAACTGCAGGTAAAAACATGTCAAATAATATAAAAATAAATTGAAGGCTACTTTTATATATTTACTGAATTTAGTGTAATAAATACTATAATAAGCAAAAAGCTTCAATCACACAATTCAGTTTCACTGAAGTTACAGTAGTGTTTGTAAATATGAGTTTTAAAATTTAAATTACAAATATTAAAGCACTGAAAAACTAGTATAAAAGTGAATTTTGGCACGTAAGTGAGCTCTTCTGTCATTAGTATTTGACAACCTGGGGCAATGAGGAAGCCATTTCTCACCTACTTTTTGAGGTACAACTATTCAACTAGGTCAGCAACATGCTGGAATACTTAATAGTTCACAATCTTTGAGTTAACTTTTTCCCTTTTGAGAAGCCCAAAGAGCAACCCAGAGCTTATTACTGTGCAAAAATTCTCCAAACTCCTGACAGAATTTAGGAAGGAACTTTTTCTTCCAACCGGCAGGGCCAGCCCAACTCCTTGCCATTGGCGCCTTCCTAGTGATCCCTTTTCTCCAATTTCTGCCTCCTTCCAATAAAAAAAAAGAAAAAAGATCCTACATCAAAACGTAAAATAGCCCATAACTTCAGCGACTTCAAAGTCATCACACTCACTCTGGGTGATATAAAACTGAAGCTGCTAATAGGAAAGTTGGCAAAAAGCATGTAAGCCCCTGGAGGACTTCTTCCTGTCCCTAAGGAACCCACACCTGATGTCTTTGCTGGGTTTCTGGTATCCACTTTTAAGGTCAAAATCTAAAACACAGTGTCAAGGAAGACCCTTCCTCTGGAGACAGCCTACGACCCCGCCCCTCCACCTGGAGAGCCAGGAGGAATCAAGCAGACATTAAACTTCACAGTCAGAACCCCGAGGCCCTGCTGGTTCCAGAAGGGGCAGTGCAGCAAGCAGGGAGGAGCCATCTCCCAGCCTCAATCCTCAAGGAGCTCACACTGCCAGTGTGCCTCTTCATCAGGGGCACAGCAAGTGCCCCCCAAGGAATGCCCTTTCACCAGTGTGCCCCTCCACAACCCCGAGCAGGCTGAGCAGCATACACAGAGGCCTCAGCCAGCTTTGCCTTTTTGGCTTTGAAACTTCTTAACGTTTTGACTTTTTTCAATCACAGTTTCATATTCAAGTTGAGGTAATCAGTTTTCCCTCTTACAGTAGAGGAATTGGGACAGTGGGGCAAGTTGGTGAGAGAGCATTTCTATGGGCAATATCAGAAAACCAAGACTACTACATAGTACAGCCCCACGCAGTGGGAAGACCCGCTTTTATGGATGGGCTCCGACCCCTTTCTAAAAACTCTTTTGTGCTACAGCCAGGAAATGGCTCGAGCTCCTCCATCTAGAGCTTTCATTTAAAATTTCACAGCAACCCACCTGGAGGATATGGCCTATGTTTCCCCCCACCCCAACCACCCACCCCACCTCTCCCTTTTCTAAGGCTGCTCAAGTTTGAGTTTTTAAAAAGAGCTCGGTAGAGCTAAAGGAAGCTATAGTAACTCATTGCTTATTTCATCAATTGCACTTAAGATCTATGTTATTGATTCTGAAGCAGAGGCAGGCCCATTGTGGACCCCAGCCTCTGGCCAGCCAGAAGTGAGGGGCTCCCAGACTTGGGCTCCACACCTGAGCCCTTGTCACTATGAGCTTTGGGAGATGAGACTGGAGCACATGGCCGTTCCCAGGTGCCTTTCTTCATGCAAGATTTTAAATTCAATGATATCTGGAGTTTGTTCATTTGGCTTCAAATAAAATTATTTTTTCTAATACATTTTACTGACAACCCCTGAATAGCTGCTTTGCTACTTGCATGCAGACCTCTGAGTGACCAGGCACATGTGCTTCATCCTTTGTCTCTCCTCTGCACCAGAGGCCTTTCTCAAAAACCCCTCTACATTACTGGAAACTTTGCTGATTTCACCTATGTGCTTCTTCCGAAGGCATGCAAGACAAACATGAAAGTCAGAAAGCATTTACAATCTAGGAGCTAAGGCGCTGAAGTCCTAACAGACATCACCTTAATACCAGTGCCTTGACCTCCTTCTCCCCACACTGACTATGGAGGTCATGCATGGGATGCACCCTTCTGCTTCATGGCCCATCTAAAAACAAAGCCACTGGAAGGAATTCTATGAAATTCTATGATATGGTAATTCCTTGAGATTCTTGGTCTTCAGGAGCCAAACAAGTCCAGGGCTGGCAACAATGCTTGGGGACATGAGTTTCCTTAAGTTTGTGGTTGAAAACTAGGCCTTCCCTGGCAAGGCTGAGGGGAGGGCTGGGTGCTGGGGACTGCACCCGGTTCAAGGATGCCCCACAGGGGATCACAGCCTGGGCCGAAGACTACGCAGTTGCAGGATGCTCCCTTCAACAGTGAGGCAAAGCATTGCTGGAAGGCTTGAGCAGCAGGTCTGTTCCTGTCCTGAATTAAACAAACCAGAGGGATGCTGTGAGGGAAGCACACAACCAACCCCAGGGCACTGCTTGGGTTAGTTCAAAAGCCACAGGCTTCTGAAAAGCAACATGCCTTTCCTTTCAGGCCATGAGGGAAATCTCTCATTTTAGAACAGCTGTTGATCTCAGCCCAGGCTGCTGGCTCTGGGGGCTGGGCTTGGGCTGGGCTTGTGCTGCTCCCCCCAGACTGGGCCCAGGGCCAGCAGTCCAGCTCCTTCAATGGAAGGGGCCTCAGAAGGGAGGCAGGGGTAGGGTCTCTTGGGACATGTTTTAGGTCTGTGGTAGCCTGGCATGGCCACATTTTGGGCAGCCAGAGGTCTTTCTGTGTCCCAGCAGCTCCTCTGTGCAATTTCAATGTTTCTCCCCACCCTCACATTGTGCCTCAACAGCCCAAAGGGGATACTGTCACCAGAGACCTAGAGGTCCTGGATGGCCATGGTGTACAGGGCAGCCGCTGTCTACTCCTCCTCCAGAAGGAGCCTTCCCCCGAGTTTGTGGTGCAGATGATGCTCTTCAGCGCCGCACAGAGAATAAAGACAACATGCACTCAGGCCAGCACACAAAGGCTAAGGAGAACGGGACAGCCCCTCCAGAGAGGGGCTCTGGGAGAGCTGAGGCTGAGACACCCCATGTCCAAATGCCCATCACCACAGTGGACATTCTGCAGCTGTCCTCTAGGGCTTCTGCTCAAAGAGGTCATGATACTCCTGCTGCTCCAGCTCACGATTATACTTCTCGATTTCCCGGTTGGCTTCTTCCACATAGTCATTCATGAATTGGTCCATGACTGGCATCTCATTAAGGAAGAGCACCCTGGGTCTGGAGGACAAGGAGGACTGCCTAGGTCCAGAGGGAATCTGTGGGTGGGTGAGGTGGGGGACACAGAGGTGTGGGTGCCCTGCCCACACAGAGGGTACCTGTGGGCTCTTTCTATATACTGACAGCACCACAGCTACAAACAATTGATGGGGGTTGGCCCAGGTTCCTTCACGAGGTCCCAGAAGTGAGCACTCCACTTTCATGAGCACACTGCAGCCTCCCATCCAGCTTTTCACAGGTCAACTACCGTAATCTCGCCGTCTCCAACTTGTAAACTGTGCTCCCAATGACCACAGAACTCAGGGTGTCACCACAGCTGCATTTAAACTCAAACTACAGAGTGACATTGGCAATCACACAGTGAAGGAGAAATTAATACTACTGATATTAAAAGGCTAAGATGAAAAGTCTGCCTTGGGCTTGCTGGGTGTTCCCAGACGTCGCTTGCTCCAGGGTTGGGCTGTGGCTGCTCCAGCACACACCCTCTTCACAGCCAGGCTCCCCCTCACACCCCCAACCTCACTGCCCCAGATGCCAAGGATACGTGGGTGAAAATCAGTCTTGTCACCAAAAAAGTTGACAAACTGGGTGCCGTTATAAAAGTAGCCTGCAGGGAGGGGGTCCAGGTGGCGTTTCACCTGTAGGGAAAAGAGTAATGTTAGAACTACCTGTCCGCATTCTATCATTCATTCACCATTCAAAACAAACAAGCCTGTAACTTAGCAAGATGGCCCACTCTGCCCCTTGGAAGGTAGATGTGCCAGGGAGTTAACACCTCCCACCAGCAGCCTTCAATGCAATGACTGATGGGTCATCTCCCGCCTCTCAGGGAGGAACTCTGTGGCTCCCTGGGATTCAGCTCCAGTTGTCCACGTGGTACTGGATCGGTAACACACCTTTGTTGGCTTCTCTTACTTTCCCATTTCCCTACTAGTGCCTCCTAGAATCACTTCCAAAATAAACTACCTGCACTCAAATCCTTGTTCAAGGTCTCCTTGTGGGGGAACACACACTATAAGGACTGCTTTCTGAGGTGCCCACAGCATTCTCCCAGGTGCCCCCAAGGGTTGCTCAGGCCCTGCGGGAGCTGGATAGAGAGGGGCCCTCCTCTAGTCCAAAGCAGGGGCTCCTGGAGCCCCAGAGTCCTGCTCCATCTGCTCATCATCAGGACCGGCAACCCTGGACTCTGTCCCTTTAGCCTTTGCCCTCAAGCCCCCCCAGGGAAAGGCCCCAGTGGGAGTGGGGACTGGGGCAGAGGCTAGGAGCCAGCCTGGCGGCTGGGAGGGCTCATCGAGAGCTGGCCTCAGGATTCCACAAATTGCCCATGAGGAGCTTCTGGTTTGCCTAGGACAGAGGGGTGGGAGGAGAAAACGACTTCTGCAGCTGTTTGAACAGTGTGACAAAACAGGGCTCCATATCCCTGCTGCTCCCACAGGCAGGGTCACATGCCCAGGTCACACAAAGCTCACCCCGTTCTCCTCATGGAGGCTGCAAGACAAGATGGGCTGAGGCCTCTCTTTACCAGCTTCCCACTGTGACTCGAAAGAAGCAAGGCCTCCAGCACGCCGTGCTGACAGCCCCCTCACTCAGGACATCCTGAAGGATGGAGCCGTGCAAGCCTAGAAGGACAGACTTGGGTCTGTGGGGGATTAGGCCCCCAGAGCGGGAGACTCACGTGGATGTTCCTGATCTCCTGCTGGGTAAGCATCCCCCGGGTCTTCAGGGCTTTCCTCTGAGGCTTCTGTGCAGAGATGGAGGGAGGGGTCAGGTCCCAACAGAGCTGATGGAGTACATGGGGGGCGGTTGAGGGTTCAGGGTTCTGGTGGCTAGTGACATTACTAAGATCCCAGCAGAGGAGAAAGCGTTAAGTTCTGCCATGGCTTGGACACAATATCCTGCCTATCTGCCGCTCGAGAAGACCACTTTCCCATCACAGAGCCCTGTGTGTCAAGAGGGACCATGTGACAGAGGACAGATTGGTGCTTTTGCAAATAGGCATTCTCAACCCTGAGCACTACCAGTGACAGCCATGCAGATAAAGGGACAACATGAAGTCCCCTATTCGTTTAGGAGTTTATTCTCAGGTGAGTTGGAGAAAGACAGCCTGCTAGCAGCTATTCCTTACTATAAAAGACAGGTTTCAACTGAGTGTCTGCAGAGGCCCCAGGCCCCAGCCAAGTCTATGTCCAGAGTTCCAGCATATGCTAAACCCCCAAGAGGCTTATTCAGCACCCAAAGCATTCAGCGTACTGGAGAATTTCGACTCCAGTCTGAGTTTTATTTTTCTTTGTAGTATTGGGCTAAAGATGCTTGTGTGAATCTACATATAGGCCACTTCTTCTCCTGTGCCTGTCTCTGAGACCCCCAGGCTCACTGCTGTCCAGGTCTGGAGTATTGGTTTGCAAACAGCTTCTAAGCACATCTTTGTTGCTTCTCCTTTCTAGAGAGAGCCCAAGAATAGCAGATTCTGGGCTCAGAACACAGGACAGCCTTTGACTAAGGTCAGCTAGGTCAAAAGATACTTTGAGTTTAGAATACCAGGTAGAGTCAGTGTCTATGTGGAACTACTAGTTTTTACCCCGATCCTAGTTAAGTCACCTAATAACTATATTCTGTCTTGGAAAGAAGAGATGGAAATGTCTATGAGAACAAGTCTGTCTTGAGTGGCTTCTTCCCACTCTCAGAGCATCCCTGAAAGTGCTGGCCGAGCATGTGAGGGCCAGGCCAGTAGGGGAGGCAGGGGAGGGTCCCCAAGCTATGCTGGTCATATCTGTGCCTGGCTTTACAGACCACCTGCTTAGCTGACTGTCGCAGCCAGTCCTTGACGCTTTCTTCCTTCAGGGAGCAGCCGATGAACACGAGGTAGCACTCCTGCTGTCCGCTGCTATCTTGGGGTGTGTTTCGGGAGTCAGGCGGTGGTGTGGGTCCCTCCAAAACCGGTACAATGCTCAAGGAATTGGCCAAAGTGTTGTGGCAGACCTCCATGGTCCTCTCAGAGTCTGCAAAGAGGGCACATGTTAGTCCCAGAGACCCTGACCCTGAAGGGATAAAGGCTACATCAAGAGTAGAACAGTACAGGTGGTCCAGGACCGACTGATGAGACATGTGGGAGGTATGGGTGCCAAGCAGGACAGAATAAAGCAAGAGAGGGCGGAGGAGCAGTGTATGTTTCTAGCTTGGCTGATTCAGTGATCAGGTGGACAGCACTGACCAAAGGGGACTAAAGAGGAAATCCCCCTTGGCAGAGGTGGAGGGGGTGGGTTTCAGCAGAGGCCTGAGAGACCAAGAGAGGAGGCATGTGAACAGTGCAAGTACTGCAGGAGGGTCACATAGACGGGAACAGGAGCAATGTGACTGGGTTCATAGGCTGCAGGGCTGGGGCTAGGACTGACTGGAGACACAAGAAAAGGGCAAGGTCCTTCTCCAAGGCAGGATGAGAAAGGGATCCAGAACAGAGGGAGGTTAAGAAGAAAGGGGTCAAGAATAGGTCTAAATAAGGAAGAAAAGAAGGTGGTAATGGGGGAGACCTCTGAAGCAGGTGGGAAGTGGTCTGTCAGAGCCTGAGGGAAGTGGGCTTGAGTAAAGGGCTTCAGGAGAAGGGCCCAAGTTTCAGATTCAATAACATAAATTATCCCAAAGGTATGGGTTTAAGGACTGTGAGAGGTTCTTTTATATAGGCTCCATCATGTACTTCTTCCATCTGAACCCAGAGGTCCCAGGCTTACACCTTCAGTGGCTCCCAGAGCAGATGCCGGTGTTGCCTGGCCAACGTCCCCTTCTTCCTCCAACAGCAGGGCCCCATGGGTGAGGGTCCTGGGAGGCATGGTCACTCACTCCTGACCAAGGAGAGGATAAAGACCCCACAGGAAGAGCCAGCCTCTCCTGCTGGCTCTTGTCTGGATATGACACCCTTGCCTGTGGCACAGCCTGGTAACCACGAGGGGTGGGAACCTGAAGACAAGCTGACACTCCAAGAATGGAAGAACAGACACACAGTGTCTGGGTCCTCGGCGACCTTGTTACGCTGCCTGACCTCCTGCCTTCTTGTTACATAGCTAAAAGCTGCTGGATGAGTTGGGGTTTTCTGTTAAAAGAGCTGAAAACACTCTGACAGACACCTGGCCTCCCTCCTAAGTTAGACCTACAGTAAACCCTTTTTGGTTCCTGAAATGTGCTGTTTTTTGCCTTGGGTCCACAGAACACACTGTGCCTTTTCCCTGGAATATTCTCTCCTTTCTCAGTGTTAACTCCTCCTAGTTTTGAGGCTTTCCTTGACCCTCAGCAGCCCAGGATAGACTTCAGGTCATAAGGGCTCCAGAGGTCTAAGGCTGATAAGCAGGCCTAGTGGACAGAAGGGAGAAGGCAAGTGGAAGCCTTCAAGACCAGCAGGAATGGATCTGAGCTGGAGAGAGCAGTGTAGCTCCGGTGACAGGTCTAGGAGGAGGCAGTGGACAGCTCAGGGGGGCTGGGTGTGAGTCTGGAATAAGGAAGTCAGGGAGCTGTGAGGAGAGGTCCTGGGCAGGCCACTGGGGAAGGAGGATAGGTCCTACACTGGAGCACAGGGACCTGGAGAAAGGGCTCTTGGCCGAGAGGGGTGACTGGAAGAGCCGGATGTTACACCAGAGGGAGGGTTTCTGAGAGGCTGCAGAGCACCCCATAGTGTAAGGATCCCAAATCCAACCCCCAGTTACCTGTAAACTTCACTTTGCCCAGGATGTGGTAGATGTTTCCAGAGAAGGGACTTGGCTTGATGGAGGACTGAATTGCTGGTGGAGGAAAAGGACAGGGCTGTCACCCGCCTGGGGGCAGAGGCCAAGTTCAGGGTGGCACAGCTGGGGCAGTAGGGACTGTGAAGGAACCTGATTTCAGGTCTAGGGTTCCCAGGTTCTATACCCACCAGGTCCAGGTCCTCCCCAGGGGCTCTGCCACTGTTCCCAGGGGTGGGGGCCTCCTGGGTCCTCAAATCCTTCTGCCTATTTTCAGACCCAAATAGTGAGAAGAGACAGAACAAAGAATACTAAAATGGTGCCAGGAAGCAGGGACAACTCTGGGGTATTCTTTTACCAGGGCCTGGGACATGTCTCAGCCAGGGCTCACCTTTGCACTTGGCCACAAAGCGAGTCTTCTCCAAGGGACGACCAAACCATACGCAGATTTGAACCATTAATGGAAAGACTGATCCAGCATCAAATTTACCTTCATACCTTAAAAGGTTTAAAAAATTGTAAGTACAAGTAACTGGGGCTTTGAGTGTTACTATATACTACTTTGGAATGAACTATTTTTATTTATCCTGTAATATCTTTTCTTTTACTTGCATGTCATTTTGTGTACAAAACTTGTTTAAATGTACATATGTCTTTTTCACCTTGAGACTGGGAAGCATGGTTGCCCCATTAGAGCAGGGAAGTCCCGCCTCCTTTAGACTAGTCCTTGAAGTAATAAAGACCCCATTTAACTTTGGAGCCTGCCAGTGTCCACCTGAGACTGAGGGTCCTTCCTGGTACTCAGCGGCTCTTCTTCAGGATTCCCTCCCCTTCCTTCAGGGCTCAAAGCCTGCCCCACCTTCACCAGCAGGGCCTTTGGACGTGTACACTTTCTCTACAAGGACTCCAGGGCTGGGGCATCTCTGCTTTAGCTTCTCAGTTCCACCAGACTGACTCAGTGGAACATGTCCATATTCAGAACACTTAAAAATTTTAACTTTTTATTAACAAAAATTTTCAAACATATGCAAAGATAGAAAGGTAATGTAATGAACCCCCTCACCCAGGATCCAAAGTTATGGAACTCTCATTCTTGCTTTGAAATTCTTTCCTTGTGACAAAGCCCCATGATTGGAATCAGTCCAGGGAAGCACGTAATTATCTCATTGGTAATAATTTACACTACCCCCAGCAGCTGGTAAATGTTGTCATTTCACAACAATTCCCCCAGCAATGACTATTACAGATATTTTTGGTTGAATGTAATAGGTGTCAATCAAAATAACAGTGAGGCATCACTTTAAATTTCTGAGTATTACTGACATGGAATTGTTACCATGGTTGCCATTTATACTTGCTCTTAATAAAGCTGTCCACATCTATATGAATGGGGCTGCTTTTCTTAAATACTTAAACAAGCTTCCCAAGTATTATATTAACCTTTCCCACATTTGTTGCAAACATTTTCCTCCAGTCTATTGCATTCTCATTAGTTTCCTTTGTTTTAAAATAGCACTGTGGTTTTGAATTTTATACTGTTGGAAATACATTATTCCTTGTGATTTCCTTAAAGTAAGGCAGTAGAGTAATAATTTTACAAGAATGACATGCTTTTTTTGGCCCTCTTCCCCTTTAAACAAATCATTTGGAGACCAAGGGCTTCCTCTGGCTTCTTTGTTCAGAGCCCAAATCCTCAGGGGAAGAGTGCAAGGTTTCTTCCCAGACAAGAAACAAGTCCTTCTACCTGGGGAGATGGGGGTGGGGTTGATGAGGAAGGAGAGGGTTGTGGGAGGAGTATGGCTGAGAATCTGCGCAGCTCAAGAGCTGCACTGAGTACATCCTGGAGCTAAAGCTTGTTCACTCTGAGGTGGTGGCCCTGCAAGGAGGGAGAGAAGTAATGTATATGGATGAGAAGATGTTTCATGGCTGTCTTCTTGTTAAAATATTGTTATCTGATTCCTAGGAAGGGACTCAGAAGGGAGTACCTGAAGTGTGATTCTGAGGCCCCTCTATCTATGATTTTCTACAAGGACCAATCTTTCTGATAAAGGGAAGGTTTTAGACTCTAGATTCAGAGCGTTGTAAGGAACTCCTCGTGCTTGGCTCTCCCCTTGATCAGTCTGCCTCTAGGGAAGTCTGTGCCCTGTGCTAGGTTAACATGCACAATACCCAGAATGAGTCAGTATGGACTGGAAAATGGGTGCTTTCCCAGGCACCAGGAGGAGACTGAAGGAGTTGCAGGCCCAGGCCCAAAAGTGGGGGCAGCAAAAGGTCAGTAGCTTCAGCCACTGGAGAGGAGAATTTCACCTCAGAAGCTCTATCTGTTTCTTTTTAGCTAAGAGATAATTGTCTTGTTCAGGTATAAGGAATGATCCACTTACCCCCTTTTTAAGTAAATATGATGTGACTCAAATCTGAGAATATGCCTGAAAACTTCCAATCTTACATACTGACCTTGTGTTTGTTTTTTAACAGCATAGTACAATCAGGTTTTTGCTGATACAAACTACTGGTGATAAAAGGGGTGATGTGGGGGATGTAGAGAGGTGCCTGGGGAAAGTGAGTAAGGGTAACAAAGATAATCCAAATGGGCATGAGATGAATTTTGGCCAAGCTTTAACAATTGTCTTCCCTGGAACCTTCAATAGAGCAGAAACCAGTTACCCATTCTACACAGGGACAAGAGCAACAAATAAAGAGTACAGGCTCTGGGGCACAGAGCCTGGATTTGAAATCTAGTTCTTTTGAAATTCTACAGGTGGTGTGACTTTGGACAGGCCATTTAATGCTGTGCTGCCTCAGTTATCTTATCCCTACAATGAGGAAAATAATGGACACCTCACAGGCTTACTTGAGAACGAATGGGAGAATGCCGGCAGTGCTCGCAGAGCAGCGCAGCCCAGCAGCCTGTGGCGGTGGTGTTCTGGATCAGCACTGCCAGCCACAGCAACCGACTGAGCCCCTGCAATGTGGCTGCTGTGGCTGACAGACTGAATTTAAGTTTTTATTTCTTATTAATTTACATTCACATTTTATTAAACAGCCAAATGTGGCTAGTGGCTACCGTCCTGGAGAGTGCAGCCTTAGGATGAGTGGAGAGCACAGTAAATGCTCAGGTGATGCTGGCCTTAGTGTGGTCACCGTGCACTCCCTCTCCTCCTCTCTCCTTGAAGGCTAGGGGTCTACCAGCAGGGAAGGAACATCCCCTGGGCCACCTCTGCCTACCTGTCGGGTGAGAAGCCTAGGGGACTGACTTTATTTTCAGGAGCGACTCTCTCATGGAAGGTTACAACTCCTTGGTTCTATGCCAGCCACCTCACCCTCACTACTGGCTGGAGGACACAGGATACTATAGTACTTGGTGCCTATAGGATCACTTCCTAAGACTCAACATCCAGTGAGGCACCCAATCCAGAGCCTAAGACGTGGTGTACTGGGCTCCTGGGAAGGCCAGAGCTGCTGGGACATGGCAGGCTGTTCCAGCTGCCATTGTCACCCTTGTAGAGCACACCTGGTATTTTTGCTTTTTCAAAAATTTTTCTGTAAATAAATAAATCTTAGCTGCTTTTCGCTGATACTTGCCAGCCAGGGTACATTAAATATCGAGATCGTAGCATCTGAGGACTTGAAAAACTATTTTCTGAGAGAATCAGCTCAATGTCTTCATTCCTTTGAAAATATACAGAAAAACCCAGGTTAATTAGGACCATCAATCTTAATGTGCATCTTCTGCTTCCTCCCCCCCATATGAGCACATGTGCACACAGTTTTTTCTGTTAATTCACCCCTAAATACTTCAATATGTATCTCCTAAGAACAAGAGCATCCTCTTACAGAACACAATACTGTTAGCACAGTATTTAACACTGTGGACCAGCAGCACTGTTACCTGGGAGCTTATTAAAATGCAGACTCTCAAGCCCCATTCCAGACCCACTAAATCAGAATCCTCCTTTTAGTAAGATGCTCAAGGGAGTCATATGCACATTCAGCTTGGAGAACTACTTCTCTAAAATATAGCCATTCTCAAATTTTCCCTTTTCTTGGGGAGAGGAGACCCACGATCCAATCATAGATCATGCACTGGATTTACAATCTTTATTTTTCTTTAACCTGGAACAATTCCTCCAACTTTTTTTGTTTCCCAGGTGTTGACAATTTTGAAGAGTACATGCCATCTGCCTTGTGTCCCACAACCTGTTTGGTCTGTTTGTTTCTTCATTATTAGATTTGGTTAAATATTTTTGGCAAGATGTAATACTCAGGTGATGTATCTTTCCCACATCACCACGTGGAGTAGGCACACGGTGTTCTTCTGTCTCAACAGTCTTGCTAGGTTTAATCAAATCAATGTCATGTCTACCAGACCTCTCTACTGTGAAGGTACCTTTCTCTCTTCATGCGTAGTAAGTAGTCAGTGGAGTGACTTTGAGATGAGTGAATGTCCTTTTCCTTAACAATCTGTCACCACTACTTTTAGCACCCATTGATGATTCTTGCCTAAATCAAGCATTATTCTGAAGGTTACAAAATGGTGACTTTTCTAGTTCTATAAATCTTATTTTACTTATTAGTGTTAAAAGAGATTTACTGTCTTGTCCTTCCCCATTTTTTAAAGTATCATTATCGACTCATTTTATTCCACGTGCTGTAATCCATTATCATTGTTCTGTCTTATGCTCAGGTTGTCCCAAATTTGGCTAGTGGGAACTTTTCAAGTTAGCTTCTGCATCCTTTTGACATATCTCCACTAATCTTGGAGTTCTCCCTTGCTTTTTTGGCATAAAATGTACCAGGATCACCTTGTATTTTCCCGCCTTATACCTGCAATCAGCCAATTCTCTAAAGAGTTCTGATACCTTGTAGTGGGGACTGGTACTTAGAAACCAAGATCTGTAGGGAGGCATGTTTATTGCTACTACAATATTAGTATTTCTGGTCCCTTTCAATGGGAAGTGCTAGGAAATAGACTTTTTTTTTTTGGAAATAATGTATTTTTACTGAGCCCCACAATTCAAATCCAAAATTTACAGAGTTTTACTTGATCTTTCTCATTTCATATTTATAATCTCTTTCTTTAACCAGCAATGATGTTTGGAATCAGGGTCTTAACAGGGGATTATGTTAAGAAGTTACCTGAATTAAGTATTTTGTGTGTGTGTGGTTATTACTTTGATATATATATATGGATCCCCTTTTGGGTTTGTATTTATTTTCCCTCCTGTTGATTTAATTTTTGAATAGGTAAAATATTTGTATTGTTCAAAAGTAAAAATTATATAGAAAGTATACACCTTTTAGTATGTTTACTTAGCAAATAAAATTGCTATATGACCAGATGTTTTCTTTTCATACATGTACACACATACAACTCACCAATTCTCTATTTTCAGTTTGTAATTTGGACCCAAGTCCAAGAAGCAAAAAGATCATTTCTCTGTTCTCTGTGTCATTTTTCTCACATTAACACAAGGAACATTGACAGAGTCTTGACTTCTATGCTTTGATAGATGAAAATATGACTATATCAAAACAAAGTATCTCAAAAGAGTACAGAGTGCTGCCACATGGGCCATTTGGTGATTTTTATACAGCATCACAAACGCTCAGATCTAGATACAGGGGAAGATGGACTGCTGATCTGAGAAAGTGGCTGGTCCCATGGGCGAAGTGAACGTGGTAAGGTTACCTGGTGACAATCCCATTTTCTGCAAGAATGAAGGCTGCCGTAGGACTGGCAGCCCTGATGAGGCTTTGCAGCTGGACAAGAAGGGGGTGCCTCTGTTCCATGGTATGACTGGTGAATACCACATTACTCACCAGGCCTGGGAAATAAAATGAAGAACTGTTCAGCCTTCGGAGTCCTGACTGGGGCTGAGGGCTCACACAAACACACATGAGCCCTTCCTCCCTCCCCTGATGGTCCCTTCTAGTAGCCCCCTGGGGTAGACACCATGCTTCCATCCACATCCCAGTATGTGTTCTTGCCATTCATTCAGTAGTACGTATAACCTGTTCCTGATGGCCAAACAACTGCTTGCTGTCTTCAGTTTCTGTTATTTGTCTTGTTTCTTTTTGTTTGTTTGTGTTATTTGTCTTCTCCCACTAATGTACCAATCCTCACATCATTTGCCCTGCTGGAGCCTGCGCTTCAGGACCTGCAGTAACTCCACCTTGTATTGCAGGCCCAGCCTCCTGGATGAGCTACTAACCTCTTGTTACCTTCTGAATTCTGTTTTTCAGCTCATACCCAGAGCTTCTTCACCAAAGAGCCCCTTCCATATCACCCATACTTAACCTCACTGGGAACTAGTGCCACTGACCTTCACCAGTGCAGATATTTATCAAGCACTAACCACTGTCAGGTGCTAACTATTAGACTCTCAAAGAGTGCACAGCCAAGGAGTCACATACACGGCCCTACAATTCCAAGATAAGTGCTGACACAGCTATTCACATAGGGATACAGTAAGGAAGAGCAGCTCATGATCACTCCCAACCTTTCTGTGAAAATTAAGAAGTAAAACTTACCAAAGCACTACAGAGAATTTGGAAATCAGGGATGTTATCACATCCTACCATGCCCACGTAATTATAATACCTCTTCCATACTCCTTTCTATTTTTACATTGTTGTGACTTAGAATATACACCATTTCTGCTATAAGATAATTTGCATTTCTGTTATTCAACCATTTTTATTCACTTTTTAATACTGTGAAAATTTCAAACATATACAAAAATAGAAAAAGTAGTATAATGAACTCACATGAACCTATCACTTGGCTTCAAGAATTAACATTTGGCTAAAGGTCCTTTTTCCTTACCATACCCCAGTCTTTTCCCCTTTCCCCTCCTCCCCCACTGCAGACTTCTATTATTTCATCCAGAAATATTTTAGTATATACCTCCTCAGGATAAGGACTTTTTAAAGTAATTATTAATAATAAAATCTTCAATATAAAAAAGTATAGTCTGTGTTCAAATTTTTCTCATGACTTATTTTTAATTTTTTGAACCAGGAACCAAAGTCTATATTTCACTGATGCATCTCATAATTCCCTTTCAATCTCCAGTTTTCTCCTTATTTCTTTGTAATTTATTTGTCAAAAAACTGTATCCTGTAAATTTCCCCCAGTCTGGATTTTGCTGATTGTAGCCCCATAGTATTGCTTAAACTAGTCAGATCTCTTTTATAGATTCAAAATTTATGATAAACTAGTCAAAAAAAATTTTTCCCCTAACTTCTTAAATTGAATGCTTAATTCATTCTTTAAAAAAGTTATTTCTTATTTACTAATGTAGTAACTTAAGAGTATATACTTTCTTTTGACTTATTTGGTATAAAAATACTGATTACAGGTTGTGTAGAGAGCACCCTTTCTCATTAAAAATTGCCCTTTTTAGACTTTTCAATTTTTTGCCTTAAATTCAACCTAGCTGTTAATAATATTGCCTCTTTTCTTTTCGTTTCTATTTTTGTGTTATGCCTTTGACCATTCTTTGACCACCATCTTTACTTGGTTTTAGATGCTTCTCTTGTATAGAGCATTGTATAATTAAGTTTTGTTTTCTGGTTTAATATGAGAAACTTTTCCTTTTAATATGTGTTTACCCCACTTATATTTACTGACACTTTGGTTCTGTCACCTTGTCTATCTTGGATTCTGTTAATTTTTAAAAAAATCTTTAGCAGTATGATCTCTGCATTCTTTGTTTTCTCTTTTGATATGGAGTGGGCTTAACAGTCTGTTTTTAATTCTTATGATAGTTACCCTTATAGTTTCTTTTTATAATAGATCAGAATCACTGTGTTTTATACCATCTTTGAACAATGCTTATTGACTTTTTAACAGGACAGAGGGGGAAGTTGGTATATACCACTAAATTCTTCCCACTTTTCTACCATCACATTCTGGTTGGTTACATCAATAGTTTCTCTAGTAGATACTTTAAAATATTTACAGAGTAAAACTAACTATAACTTCATTTAACAGCTTTAAACTTATTGATATCCCACTTTCGAAGTTGTGGTGATAGTATCTTTCTCTTGTTCCCTCCTAATATTTTTTTTTTTTTGAGAGGGCATCTCTCATATTTATTGATCAAATGGTTGTTAACAACAATAAAATTCAGTATAGGGGGGTCAATGCTCAATGTACAATCCTTAATCCATCTCAAGTCTAATTCTTGTCAGTCTCTCCAATCTTCTGAAGCATAACGAACAAGTTCTTACATGGTGAACGAATTCTTACATAGTGAATAAATTCTTACATGGTGAACAGTACAAGGGCATTCATCACAGAAACTTTCGGTTTTGATCATGCATTATGACCTATAAACAATCAGGTCAAATATGAATATTCGTTTGATTTTTGTACTTGATTTATATGTTGATCCCACATTTCTCCTATTATTATTATTATTTTTATTTTTAATAAAATGCTGAAGTGGTAGGTAGATGCAAGATAAAGGTAGAAAACATAGTTTAGTGCTGTAAGAAGGCAAATGTAGATGATCAGATGATCAGGTGTGTGCCTATGGACTAAGTATTAATCCAGGCTAGACAAGGGCAGCAAGACATCCACGGATGCAGAAGATTTCTCTCAAAGCAGGGGGGGTGAGGTTCTGAGCCTCACCTCTGTTGATCCCCAAATTCTCACCTGATGGCCCCCCTGCGACTGTGCCTGTCTTAGGTTGTTCCTCCCTTGAGGAATCTTACCCGTCTCTGGCTAACCAGTCATCTTCCGGGGCCATACAGGGAAATGTAAAGTTGGTAAGTGAGAGAGAAGCCATATTGTTTGAAAAGGTTAGCTTTTTACTTCTTTGCAGATTTATGCCCTGTGGCTTCTATGCCCAGCACTTGTCTCGAGGTATCTTTACCACCTGTCCCTCCTAATATTTTGTAAAATGTAATTTCATTTATAGGTTTCCAAGATTTTCCACATTTATATTCTATTTTGTAACAGAATTCTCACTGGTATTATCATTAATTCTATGCCTAAAAGTGTCAGTGTTCATCCTCAACTTTTTCTAGGAGAGACTAGCTTTATAAATGATTAGTTTATAAGTGATTATCTCTAAATCACGGAGAGTTCAGGTTTCCTAAGCGACCCTGCAATTGCAGGAGGCTCAATAATGAATATTAAGTTCAGTACAGAGGACTCTGTGCTAATACTATTAATTTCAGTCAGGTGTTTAGTTAAAAAAGAAATAAACTGTACTTAGTTTTTTTTGATGAAATCCAATTAATTTTTTTCTTTGATTATACATTATACTTTTTTGTGTCATGTGTGAGTATCAATGTCAGTAGGGCAGCTAAGATGTCCTCTTATGTTTTCTTTTTTTTTATTTTGGTATCATTAATCTACAATTACATGAAGAACATTATGTTTACTAAGCTGTACTTAGTTTTTGAGGGCAAAACTCAAACAATGTATAGAAGAAGGGTTCACAGAGAAAATAAATTCCCTCCCTCCCCAGCTACTTGGTTCCCTTCCCAGGAAGCAACTGCAGTTATCAGATTCTTCTGTCTTCTTCCAGAGGTATGCTGAATATATACAAGTAAATGTATGTGTGTATAAATTTTTTCCCCCAAGTAGTGGAATACTACACTGCTCTGCACCTTATTTTTTTTTTCTTGAGCTCTTTACCTTTTTATTTTGGTAAAGATTACTTCTTCCTTAAAACTCTTAATGCCTTACCTTCTCAATCCTTCCCTCATGCCGCCCTACTCTTTCCCCTTCTCTAAACTACAAAAGCTCCTTTGAATAACATGGGCAACATTTAAAATATAGGACTTATATTCTTACTAATCTCCTTTATGTAAGCAAAAAGATGAAGTAATGTAAAGATTAAAGCATGTGTTTTAGAGGTAGGCAAACCTGAGTTTGAATTTGGGACACTAATTACTAATGTGACATCAGGCAAATTGCTCAACTTTTTCTCTGAGCCCAAATTTCCTCCTCTGTTAGACAGAAGAGTAACACATACCTCCAGGTTACCAGTAAAATGCTTATCACAGGGCCTACAGATAGTAAGAACCATTAAATGCAACCTATCACCACCAGACTACCACCATCATTGTGGGTTGAGCAACAGCCTGAGAACAGGACTTCTACCTGTGCAGTGGGGTGCCTGGACCCATCCGTTCCTCAGACCAACAGAGGGGGGGCTGTGGCACACAGGCCTTAGTTAAAGCAACCAGCTGAAAGCTAAATCATGGAGCTCCCAGCAGCCTAAATTGCTCAATCCATGGTTTAGATGAGTGGCCGTTAGTGAACAGAGAGCAGGGATTAGGAGCGTCGCACCAATGGTCACGTTACAGGGGGGAAAGGGCGCATACAAAGGCTATGCAATGTACCTGGGACGGCAGCCGGCAGGAGTTGGAGCTCCTGCTGAGCAGAGTCTGCTTCCTAAGTGTTTATGGCTCATTCTGGGATCTGTTGGTTCCTTGGGTCTGAGGCGCAGGTTCTATTCTTCTCATTTTTCTGCTAATGCTAGCTAGTAAGCCAGCCTTAAGCAGATGAAGCCCATCAGCCTCTGCATAGGGTTTGAAAGACCTCTAAGGACTCAGGGTAAGTTTCCACGGTGGCTTTTCTTGACATCAAGTATTGAGTGCAGCTCTGCCTCTTCTTCCAGTTACTTAATGAAAGGCAACCTGACAGCCCGGTTCCCCAAGGCTGGACCCTGGAGGCACTGAGTCCTCCCCTGGGCCAGTAAGTGCTAACAGCTCTAATCACTCTAAATCCCTGCTATCATCTGCCTATGTCAGACCACCCCTCTCTTCCGTAGGCCACAGCTCATTCTCTCTACTTCCAGTGACCTTTACTACAATTCATTCCTTCTTCTGTAGTCAGAGTAATCTTTCAAAAACATAGATCTGATTATATCACTTCCCTACTTAAAGTATTTCAATGCACTTCAATTCCTCTAAACTTGGCCTTCCTGACCTATCTGCCAAGCTGCACCTCCTCAGGGCCCTGGGTGAGCTCTGGTCACCATCAAGCCTTCATTCTTGCTGTTTCTCTGCCTGAACCACCTTTTCCCTCCTTTTTGCTGGCCCGATTCCTCCATCAGGCTGTAGACAATTTGAATAGCACCTCTTCTAGAAGCCTTTCCTAGTCCCCCAGAACTGGGTTAAAGCAGCACTGGTTAAAGATTTGCTGAATAAATAAACAAATGAATCAAGTGTAATGAAAGGTACATGCAACCTGAACACTGAGGCAGCTGCATAAGAATCTAAGCTGTGGGCACCCAAATGCCAATTTTTCCCATTTATAAGTGTGAGAAAATCCTATTCATCAGCCAGCCATCTGGAAAAGTTTCTAAGACTTATTGGTATATATGTATTTCTGGTACAAAACTCATGAAGTACAAAAAGGTATTCAGTGCAAAGTTTCTTCGCCCCTCTTCCTATGGCACCTTGAGCCTTAGTTCTCTTCCCGAGAGGCAACCAGAGACAACCAGATTTGGAGGATGCTTCGTCAGACAGTTTGCACATCTCTAAGTACATAAGAATATACAGAATCCCATTTTTCAAGAGCTTCTCCCACACTCAAAACCTCTATCCTCAAGGTCCCTAAGTGTGGCGTAGCTGTGGTAACTGCACACGACTTTAGGAATTCAATGGAGTCGAAGTCAGCATTTTTTTTCTTCTGTATTTAAAAGGTTCCTCACATGCCTTTTCCGTTCAGAAGCTTTAATATTACAATGGACCATGCTCAGCCAGGGTGTCAGAGAAGCCTCCTGTGGGAGGTGACATGCGGTGCCCTGTGTTCTCATTCCCATTTAGAAAGATCACCCTGGAAGATGGGGGGGGAGGCAGCAGGGACAGCCTGGAACCTAATGCCAGAACCCCATGCTCTGGTACAACCACAGGAAGTGATTGGGACCTCTGGAAACTCAGTGAGGCAAGGTCAGGAGGCCAGAGCCAGAATGTGGCACAGTGGGGGAGCAGACAGGGTCCAGAAGGCTCAGCACAGTCTAGAGATGGCAGATACAGAAGCCAGATCCTGCAAGAGGCCCATGAGATTTCCATGGGGGCAGGACAAGAATAGGTGTGGTGGATTTTACAGTGAGGAGCTCAAAAAGGCTGAGAAAGACCTATAAAGGCCCTAAGAATCTGTTTAGTGTCTCCTTGGGGAAAAGAAACTGTGAAGTCAGACTAGTGTAAATGTGCCATTCTGAGTGGTGTGCAACAAGGTCATAAGTGTAGGCCTGTCCTGTCCAGGAAAAGGCTGGGGTCTGAGTCTCTGAGAGTCATGTAGCCCAAAGTCCTGTCTGCCTCATGAGTATATGTAGACAAACCCTGTGGGCTTGGGATTCCAGGTCAGGAATTGAACATAGAAAAGAGCTTTGCTTGATAGGGAAACAAGCAAAAGGATTAACTGCAGCATTCCTCTGGCCAGCTATGCAAACCGCCACCTGCCAAGAGGAAATGCCATCTGCAAGGCAGGTACAGCAGTTATCTGGAGCACAGGGTGAAGAGGCCATGGTGGCTGGGTTCATCTTGCTCGGGCCAGGAACTTTCTTCTGCTCTGTATCAAGGAATGGATACCCAGGTTTGGCCAAGGTCTCTCCAATTTGGGCTATGAGAGAGCAGGCAGCCTGGGCTGGCCCATTCCCAAGAGTGCAGAAACATCTCTGAGGTCTCTGATCATCCCACTTGGGACTAAAGGCTTCCAGCAGCCCAGGAGGAAACCAAGTTTACTCCCTTTATCTATCTATGGATACTTCTAATACCAGTACATGGTAGTTAAATATCTCTGTTCTGCTTTCAAGCCCGCATTATATGGAGCCTTGCTTACTGTTTATGCACTGAGATTATTTCCTAATCCTTGGATTTCTGTAATACACATCATCTTGGGGGTGGCAATAATGTCCTTTTCTCATTGTTAAACAATCCTTTGTTTTAAAAGCAATGGATCAGGGAGCCTGACTCATGAAGGAGTAAAGGGCGGTAATATGTTCCCTTGCGACATGATGTGTTTGTCTGCTGGTGGCGGATTCCACTTCCAAAAGAGCCACCAAATCTCTGAGGAAAAAAGAAATACTTGTTTTTTACCTCCTTCCTCACCGGAGAAGACAGCCCATGCCCATGGGGAGCCAGCTCAGACCAGTCCATAGGGTCCCTTGGGCCCAGGTGCAAGGTAAGATATTAACCAAGTCACTATCATTCCACAAGCCCATTGGAGTTCAGAAAACAGCACATATGGCCTCCAAGTCATCTGTCTACATCTGATCACATTCCCACAATCTTTCACTAATTGATTGATTGAAGTAGAGTTGATATACAATATTAGACTGGTTTCAAGTTACCCACATTATTAAATTCTCACCCAATTCCCTCTTTGCCAAGGGGAAAAAAAACCCCAGAGGAGCACTGAGGGAGCAAGTGCCATGGGGTAGCAATTGTCATGTGACTATAGCCCACACCCTTGGTTTTGACCATGACTTCCAAACATGTATCTGAGGACCAACAGCTCTCTTTAGTTATCTCTAAACTTGTATTTTCTCCTGTGCTTTCTGTTTCAAGGATAGGTACCACCAACGTTCCCAGTCTCCTGAGCTAGAAACCTAGAAGTCATCCTAGATGCCTCCTTTTCCAACTCAGCTTCCAGTCTGTCTCCAGATATTGACCCAACATCCATAAAATCTCCTGAATCTACATGGGGTGGATACTGCAGGTGGACTGAGCCAACTTCTATTCCACCCTGCTTCTGGGGTACAGTGCCTAGAAAGCCAACAGGGGCCTCTAAAAGCTGCACTTGAGACTTCCTGATGCAGCAGTCCAACACACACATTCCTCCCCCAGTCACCTGGCCTCCTGCCCCGCGCAGCACCCAGCTCAGCTGTTTCCCAAGACAACAGCTCTGGTATGCTCTGTTGTCTCTGCTCCCTGTGGACTGGCAGTGGGATCAGCAGAGCACAACTGTGCTGGGGACATAGAGTTATTTTCTCCTGTCTGATTTCTACTTGCTGGGCTGGCTCAGGAAGCCCAGACTCCAGCTCTTCTGACAACAATGAGCATTTTATCATCACCGCAGGAAATTCAGGATTTACTCTGGGGCTCTAGGCACCATAGTTAGTATGACTAAACAGTGCTGGTTCTTGGGATGCCAGTTGATAGGAAAATGCAATGTAACCTACAGGATGGGTAGATCTGTCTAAATGTTATCAAGGAGGTATGGAAAATTCCAGTGTATGTAGTGGGGGAATTAAGGGAGAAGGTTCCACTGGGCCATACTCTGTACTCCTGGGACAGGAGAAATGCATCAAGATCTTTGTGATTCAGAGGTTAGGAATACTTATTTTGTCCACTGATATTAGTTGGAAGGCCAGGGCAGGCTTAAACCCACCTTAGGAGAGGTGTTGCCATAACAACTTATCATCATTAAGAGATAAACTCTGAAAGAAACCTATCAAATTTGATAAAGGTAAAAGATAAAGCTTTCCCTGAACCAATTTTGTTTTAGATTTTGAAGTGATAGGTAGGAGCATGAAGAATCTGCATCTAAACAGAATTTGAAAGGCATGCAAGCAGGACATAAAAAATACTGCTTACCTTGTGAACACTGCTCAAGACATTTAGGAAAGAGAAATCTAGGGGAGAAAAGAGAAATATTTAAAAAACATTAATGTCAGAGTTGTCATTATTTCCCTCAAAAATGTGAGTATCATTGATATCCAAGATGACTTACTCATCAATGGGAGGTGGCAGGTGGCACTGAGCATTAAGGAGAACCATGGTTATGCAAAAGGTTTTCACAGTTTTGAACCAAAGCTCCCTAAGCCAGGAACCCTACAGAGGTCGCTACATGGCCAACTCTTGGTTCAGTGTGGGACAGGGGGTCTTGGGGGAAGGGCCAGTTCTCTAGACTAGAGGAAATAGAGAAAGAGAGACTGTCAGTTTTTTTGAAAGAGATATTGTTCTGACAGGAAAGGAGGAAATTTCAAGGTAAAATGAGAATTATCATTCACCTAACTGCCAGGGGCCTTCAGCACCAAAGCCGCCCTGCTCCTCTCATGTGCAGGAGAGGCTCCCAGTTCCCCTTTCATCCCATTCAGAGCTATAATGGTCAATGAAAAGCAGGAAACTCACTGGACCACAGCTGAAGCCAGTGAGGGCGACTGATTCAAAGAGTGAGTTGACAACTGCAGCTCCACAGCAAGCTCTAGAGAAGAACTCATATTCTCAGTGCTTTAAAATCCCTAAGATATCACAATGCTCTCCTCAGGGAAGAAAGCTAACACTAATGAGAAAAGCTGCCTTAACTGAGTTCTTACTGTGGTCTGGGCACCGTGCAAGCAGTTCACATCCATGATCTTGTTTCATCCTCAAATCCACCCTGTGCCCTGGGTACTTAAAAGCTGAGAAGAGTGTGGCTAAGGAGGATGGCTAAGCAGTCTAAGCACTTTGCCCAAGGCCTTACATGAAGCTAGTGGGCAGAAGGGCTTATGCAGGGATCCAGGTCTGTTTGACACCAGAGAGCCCCTGTGTTTTCTTCCCCTGAAAGTGAGATCCTCCCTGAGGCCATACTTTGAATCGTTGTTGGTCTAGGTGGCAGGGATTAATGCTGTTCTAAATACTGGGGAAGTTTTTCTCCTGCAAATTTCCTTGCTTGTGCCCAGGTTTCATCCCTTTATTTGATTTCTGCAAGCAGCAAGACATACATCTTTTGGAACCAAATTTGGTGGGTGAGTGAGCTGGATGAGTAACTCTGTGGGCTGACTCTAGTTCTTCTGCCTGACTCCCTCGTGGTTTCTGAAGAGTTCCAAAGGAGGAGCCCCCGCGCTCTGAGTCCTGGAGCAAGGGAAGACTCCACACTGGAGTCTCCCAGGAACAGACCTCACTGACTGACTGCACTGCACTCATAGTCCACCAAATGGCTTGCCACACAGAAAATACATTTAGAAAGTGTTTGTCCCCATCAAGTGCCTGAGACTTTAGAGGACATGCCTTTCTTGGCACCCTGCTTACTTTCTTGCAGCGGTCCACAACAATTCACACCAGAGGCATCTTCGAGAAGGTTGAGCAAAGTTCTCCCTCTAGGCATCTTATCCAATCACAGGTTGGATGCTCATGGTTTGCTTTAAACCTCTGATGGGAAGGGATCATTAAGCTGCTCACTTTAAGCAGCTGTGAAGAAAATATTCAGAACACATGGAGCCGCACCTGAAACTGGAATGCAATTTCTCATCTCTTGGCATCTTTGGCATCTCTGGCCTTCAAATTCATATGCTAGTTTTCCTTCCTAATCCAACCAGGAGTTATCATTGCTTCTTTATAATTCTTAAAAAACTGCATTAATCTTTTATTATGGTTCTTCCTACCCTGTATCATGATTAATTGTGCACATGCCATTGATGTGGCATTTGGAAAATTTAACTTTTTGGAGCATTAGCTCCCTCACGGTAGAATGTGATCATGATGCCCACCTTAGAGGGGGATTTTGAGGACTAAGACAGGTAAAGCCTCAAGTGCAAGATGAACAGAGCAAAATACATGTCAGCTCACTTCTTTTCTTCTGTACATATCACCCTCCCTACTAAACTGTAATATAACTGAGAAGTGTCTGGCATAGGAGTCTTAATAGGCTCTGCACTAACAAACATTGAAAAGTACTGGTTACTGACTAGCTCTTCCTCTGGATAACAAAAACAGCTATGATTATAATATGTTTCTAAGCTTCACATAAGTATGGTATTGTGCACTATATAGTGTGCCAACTAAGTATCTGATTTATATAAAATTCTAGTCAATAAATAATATATGATGCTACTGATCCAATCTGTCCCAAAACATGGGTCTCACAATTGCTAAATGTACATCCACAAAAACAGGTACATGGGATGAATTGTTCCTTGCTGTCCCCTCAATGATTAGAATGGCCCTGGCACACAGCTGACACTCAACAGACACTCACTGAACAAAACCCACTAGAATAAAGATATTAGGCAAACCTCATATAGATCCATACTGAACCAAACAAACTGAGCCCACCTCCCAGAATAAAGAAGCCACACCAAGCCACACCTCACAGAAAGGAAAAACAAGCTCCATATGCTCTACCCTCACCTGTATTTTTTTTAACATGATTTAGAAGCAGTGACACAAATTTTATTTTTGCTAAGGTAGCCACTTTAGAAAAAAAAACATACCAAAAACACTGAATTCAGAGTTTTATAAACTTCATTCTCAAACAATCTTTTATTATCAAAGTAGTATACAATCCATAGCTAACATTGTAATTAATGGTTAAAGACTGAATGCTTTCCCCTTCAGATTAGGAACAAGACAGAAATGTCTACTCTTGTGACTTCTACTCAATGTTATACTGGATGTTCTAGTTAGGGCAATAAGGCAAAAAAAAGAAAAAAAAGGCATCCAAATTGGAAAGGAAAAAGTCAAACTTTTTCTATTCACTCATGACATGTTCTTGTAAATAGAAAATCCTAAGGCATCCAATTACACACAAAAAACCTAATAGAACTAATAAATGAGTTCAGCAAGGTTGCAGGTTATAAGAGAAACATGCAAAAATCAATTGCAGGTGTATACAGTAGCAATGAACAATCCAAAAATGAAATTAAGTAAACAAGTTCACTTATAATAACGTCAAAAAGAATTTAAAAATTCAGGACAAATTAAAGGAAGCATAAGACTTACACAGTGAAAACTATAAAATACTGTTGGAAGAAATATAAAATATAAAGAAATGGAAAGACATCCATGGATTGGTAGACCTAATATTTTTAAGATGGCAACACTCCCCCAAACAGATAGATAATTTCAGTGTAATCCCTAATAAAATCCCAGTTTTTTTTTGCAGAAACTAGACAAGCTGATCCTAAAATTCATATGGAAATGCAAGGGACTCAGGAATAGCTAAAACAATCTTGAAAAAGAGGAACAAAGTTGAAGGACTCTCACATTTCAATTTCACAACATAGTACAAAGCTATGGTAATCAAAACAGTGTAGGAGAGGCATAAGGATAGACATATATATCAATGGAATATAAGTGAGAGTCAGAAATTGACATTTACATTTATAGTCAATTGTTTTTCAAAAATGGTGCCAAGCCAATTCAACAGGGAAAGAATTAAGTCTTTTCAACAAATGGTGATTTGACAATTAGATATTAACATGCAAAATAACGAAGTTGCACCCATATTTCATACCATATACAAAGATTAACTCAAAATGGAGCATATGCCTAAATTTAAGAGCAAATAGTATAAAACACTTGTAAGAAAACACATGAATAGATTTTGTGACCTTGGATTAGGCAATGGTTTCTTAGATATGACACCAAAAGCACAAGCAACAAAAGGAAAAAACTTGACTTTATTAAAATTAAAAACTTTTGTGATTCAATGGATCCAAACTAAAAAGATAACCCACAGGTAAGAGAAAATTTCTGCAAATCAAATATCTGATAAAGGACTTTGAATCACAATGTATGAAGGACTCTTCTAACTCAATTAAAAAAACCCAATTTAAAAATGGGCAAAGAATATGAATAGACATTTCTCCAAAGAAGATACACAAATGGCCAATAAGGAAATGAAAAGATGATCAATATCATTAGTATAGGGAAATGCAAATCACAACTACAAGGAAATACCACACCACACCAAGAGGCTAAAATTAAAGACAGTAAGTATTAGGGAGGGTGTAGAAAATTGGAGCCCTCCTACATTGCTAGTGGGGATGTACATAAATGGTGCAGTAGCTTTGGATAATGCTCCTCAAAAGGTTAAATGTAAGAAAAATACAACCTTCCACGGCTGACCAAGGAAGAAACAGAAAATCTGAACAGAGCAATTGCCAGCAACAAAATTGAACCGGTAATCAAAAAACTACCTAAGAATGAAACCCCGGGACCAGATGGCTTCACTGCTGAATTTTATCAAACATTTAGTGAAGACCTAATATCCATCCTCCTTAAAGTTTTCCAAAGAGTAGAAGAAGAGGGAATACTTCCAATCTCATTCTATGAGGCCAGCATCACTCTAATAATAAAACCAGGCAAAGACACCACAAAAAAAGAAAATTACAGACCAATATCCCTGATGAACACAGATGCAAAAATACTCTACAAAATATTAGCAAACAGAACTCAAAAATACATCAAAAAGATCATTCAGGGGCGGAGTCAAGATGGCAGTGTGAGTAGTTCAGTGGAAATCTCCTCCCAAAAACATATATATTTATGAAAATACAGTAAATACAACTATTCCTAAAAAAGACACCAGTGGATACAGTACATCAGCCAGGATACATCTACATCTGGGAGAACTCAACATCACACGAAGGGGGTAAGATACAAGCCGTGGCCCGGTGGGACTTGAATGCCCCCCCACCCCAGAACCCGGTGGGAAGAAAGGAGTCAGGACAGGGAGGGAGTGAAAGCACAGGACTGCTAAACAACCAGCTCTAGAAATCTGCACCTGGAGCGCAGACACACAGTGCACGGGGTGCTGGATATTAGAGAAACAGAAAAGCAAAACCTGCGGGCAGGTCCCTGCAAATGATGCCCCTGAGACAAAAGAAAAGCAAGTGCTTTTTGAAAGTCTTAAGGAGACAGGGACCCCACA